CATTATATAAGTTTGTGGTTTAATTATTTTGGAGAAATTCCATGAGTTGATGTCTTTAATGACTTTAGTTTGCGAAATGTTGAAAGAGAAGTTAAATAACTTCAGTTCATTTTAAGCACAACGAAATTGAAATACTCTGCATTGCCGTTTTGCTTGCGATTTAACAGTCGTTACTTACAGAAAAGCTCTTCAAATAACGAATTATGGTGCTGCTGAAATATTTTTACATCAAGCGATTCCCTTAAAATTTATAAAACAACAAGAAACTATAAATATGAATGCACGTCATTTTATAAAAGGAAGACCAGATATGAACAAGCAAGCTAAGCATATAGTTTCGATTTTTGAAATTCATCTTATACACTTCAATTAAATTCCCATTTGCCAAGCTTTAAAAGTTAATAGAAAGAGTATAATTTGCTTAAAATAGTAATAGTTGCGGGAAAGTTAATTGTTAAAAGATTAGTTAGGCAATTTTATCTATATAAATCATTAGTTTGAATTATATACAAAGTTCAACTCAGTATTTCAATTAATGATGGCTGCAGAAACGAAGAATTAGGCGATTTAACAATCTTAAAGGGCGGTTAAGCACTCAGTGCTGAAAAGGAAGGAGTTTTGTGAGGCAGCAATTATTTGTATTATTTATATTGTGTAGTTAGTGTAGTTGGTAGGAATAAATAAAATGGCTTGTTATTTGATTTAATTTAAAAATAAAAACATAAGTCGATTGAACTGAGTTTGACTTCATTTAATGCTTGTCTCTAACAGACTCTTCATTGCCTATTCAACTTATGATCATTTACCAACATCAACATCCACTAATTTGAACTAAGTAGTATATAAATCTATATTTGTTTTAACCGAAAAAAGACATAAATTTTCAAGAATATATTAATATAAATATAAAGAAAACTATTTCTATTAGCAATATTGTATGATATTCAATTCATTATATGAAGGTTTGTTTGGGAGTGTAAAAAATACTTGCAAAGCAACAATCTTTTAATGAGTAGCTTATAGTATTTTACTTTCAAAACTTTTTCAGTTGTTAGCATAAGCAAAAGCGATTTGTAATAACAAGAAAGTTTTTTATAACTTAGTTGTATTTTAGTTTTAGTTTTGTCTACATGCATAGACTGTCAAGATTGGTTAAATAATAGAAAGCTTATAAAAAAGTCTTATTAGCTGGAAATATCGAATTTAATTAATAAGTAATATCTTATAAAAGCCTTCGACTCGATAGGCCAGATATGTCGGGGTTCAGGCCAAGTGAGGAATTATTAGACCTACAAACAGACATTTTTAAAATAAATTTCAAAATAAAAAGGTAGAAACTATCAGAGAAAGGAAACTTAGAAGTAATTAAATTTTATAACTGTATTCAAGTAAAAAAAAAAATACAAATACAAAAGTATAGGAAGTAGGAAATGTTCATTATAATTTAAGCGTAAAACCTAAAAAGCAAGAAGAATCAAATTATGGAGGAACACAGCTGCAAGTGTGTTGTTCTTCGATTAGCCAGCATGAATAGGATGGCTGACGAATAGAAAAATAAAGGAATTATTTCGTGTTATAATTTATCGTGTTATATACGTGTATTGTGAACACCAAACGCATGAGCAGGAACTTTTAATTTTAATTATTTAAGCTTTGATTTGTCTTGTCCAATCTATGTTGCCTAACTAAATCTAAATCCACTCTTGTTTCTAAATTTTAGGTTCCCTAATTTCTAAGATCTCTACTTTCTTGAACCTTTGGTATACGCAGGTCGCCAAAAACGTTCCTATGAACTAAATTCTTTAGTTTTTATAACAAAATATGATGTGTAGTTCTTTTAAAATTCACTGAACTATACTTATAGAAACATAAAATTTTAAATACAGTTTCCATTTACGTCAAATCAAATGTTTTGACGACTGTATTTGATGGCAAAACATTGTTCTCGAATTTCCATAACCGATATTGTCGGTTTCTTTCTAAAGCAAATATTATTTATTGCAGGTAGCATTGTTGGCTAAATTAACATTTTACGAGTGATTTAGAAACCGAATTTATCAAAACTTTCCGACCAATAAACTTCTATATTTGGCAACAAAAGTCACAATGAATATGTTAATTTGCCAAAGGCTCTTTAAATGTAGCGCAATTCATTTATGTTTTATGAATTTACAATGCCATTAAGTTTTATGAAGACCTTCACATTCCAAATAACTTTGTGAACTAATATTTACATTACTCGATTGCTGCGCTTCAAACAACTTTCAATAAATCCATATATGCATGAGACAAACCACTTATGAGCGACCAAAAAATAAAGCCTCCACGCGAACGAATAATAAAAATTTCACCAAATTGATAAACAAATTCAAAAATTCAACAATTTGTTGTCCCCATATCTGCATTGTGCACAGTAGATGTAAATTTTTGTATTCCAAAGAAATTCCCACTGGAAAAGGCAAACACAACTGTTCTAAAAGTAAATAAATAAATTGTATTTAAAAATAAATATACATTTATTTAGGGAACTGCTGCTAGCACGATAACGACCTTCTCTCCAAATATTTAAACATCATATAGCGAGCTTAAGCTAAGGGCATATATAAAAAGCTCAATTCTCCAGCTGTCTTAATTGTATTTGAATATTCATAATGCTCGCACATGGACGTATTATTTTTACAAAGTGTTTCTGCTCTTTGCTGATATTCACGATGCTGGCAACTGGCGCTTTTGCGCAAAAACGTAAATTTACAATTTTCACCAATTTAATTACAATTTATTTACCTTTTACTCCACCTAGCAGCAGAATTTTGTCTGTTAACGCCGGATAGAGGTATGTGTAGAGGCGCTTTTCCACGCTATGCGTATAATCAGGCAATTGGTGAATGCATTCCATTCATGTATGGCGGCTGTGGTGGAAATGCAAATAATTTTGATGTTTATGAAGATTGCAAAAATATATGCGGCTGAAATGCTAGATGTCTTCCATAAATAATAAAATAATTATAAAACCCAAAGTATAAAGAAATTGATAGAAATGTTCATGTTAACTGCATTAGTTGAGTACATTTTAATCAATATCCCATCAAAATTTCATGACAAACAAATAAATAGGAGCGCAATTAGCCTCAACACAACTTCTTCTGAAACATTTTAATAAATTATAAATAAATAAATTATCTCCAAATCAACGATTCATCAAATGCTAACCGAACAATTGGTTCTGCAAAAGGTGTGGTCTGGCTTTATTCCGCACAAGATAACCAAAAATTGCTTTGAATTAAACATTCAAAAGACATCAATAAGGATTTTAAAGGAAGCTCAATCTTTTTCAACGTTCCTGTGTCCATGACGATCCTGAAACCACACGTCAATATGATGAGCCAGGACTGCCATTCGGAGAAATCCATAATTAAGACAATGTTGATTTGTTTGTAAAATAAAAATGATTATTCATCGGAAGTCCGTTCCACGTGACCTGAAGAGTAAATGCTATGTTTTATTTTGATGTTTTTTTAGGCGTTTGGTTCATAATATTAGCCCGTTTTCGTAACTCCGTAGGACTGTTATTTTTTCGAAAAACTGTAAAGATCATGCCAAGAAACAACCAAACCTTTGAAATTCCACTTGAGGGGCGTGATTTTTAATAAAAATAATCTCATTCTCTAATTTTTTTAAATATAAAAAATACATTTTAATAACATTTTATATACTTACAACTAGGTTATTAAAAAGACTTTTTTGTTACTTTTTATTTCAAGCCAATAAAATACATCTGAAGAAATACTGTTGCGTCTAATAAGTATATAACTTCTTCTAAACAAACTTCTTCTAAACTCATATTCATAAAATAAAAGGTTTTAATTGTTTTATATATACTTATATATTAGCTAATTCGTAATTAAAAAGACTTTGTTGCTAAGAATCACCAAAATGCCTCATATTTTATTTTTTGTTTCAATTCGATAAAATACATCTGAACAAAAGTTTAGTTTTCTATAACAAAAGTTTACCTTAATATTCATAAAATAAAAGGTTTTAACTGTTTTAATTTCTAACTAATTGGTTATTAAATAGACTTGTTACTAAGAATCTCGAAAATGCCTCACACTTTACTTTTTATTGTAATCACAAGAATACATCTGAACAAATAATTTCACGTCTAACTTCCTGCAGTTTATTCTTCAATTAATAAGAACGAAAGTATTTCTTATTGTTTTATATATTAATTAATTGTTTATTTAAAAAACTTAGATTCTCCAAAATGCTGGTCTTTTTATTTCAATCAAATAGAATACATCTGAACAAATACTCTGCCTCTAGCTTTCAGCAGTTTATTTCATCTAAAGCAAGAGTTTTTATTTACATAATTTAAAATACTGTTTAATATACCAACAAACGTAATTGGTTTCTCAAAATACTTGTTACTAAGAATACCCAAAACGCCTCATACTTTGGTTTGTATTTCAATCAAATAGAATACATCTGAATAAATACCGTAGCGTCTAACTTCCTGTATATTTTTCTTTTATATTTCTTAAAACAAACATTTTCCTTTATATTCTTTCTTTCAAATTTTTTTTTCTGAGTAGAAAGTTTCATAGAAAGACAATAGTTAATTAGCCTTATGTTTCGCGACTTTAACTTTTGATTTAAAGCATAAAGCAAATAGAAACACATTTGGAAACAGATCAGCCACAACTGTTTCAAAAGATGTCCAAAGTGAAACCAAAGAAAAATGTTGTAGAAAACAGCTTTTCTGATTCTGCAAACTGATAATCTTAACCCAATTGACATCATGCCGTCAAACGATTGGGTAAACACAACTGCTTTATTGTTGCTCTTACTATTATTATTTAAGCGAACTACTCAGTAGGTGTTTCATGAAAATATGTTTTGTGTGGCGCGTGCGGCTTGGATCGAGTTGGGTCGACCATCTGTGGCCTTATATAAGTGGGTCTATGATAGGGCCTCTGACAATTGTTGACAATCAGCCCAGAGACCCACACACACACACACAATGCTGATCAAATTAACAAGTCTATTGTTCATTCTGATGCTGGTGCTGGCTATAAATGCGGATGCGACAAATACAACAACAGAAGCTAGCCCGGACAAACGTAATTTCTGCAATCCAAACGAATTAATTGATTAACAATATTAATACGTATTATAATTATTCATTTAGTCAGACCGCTCTGTTACTTAAAGCCACTGACGGGTCAATGTAAAGCCGCCTACAGACGTTGGGCCTACAACCTATCCAAGGGCAAATGCATTCAATTCATTTATGGCGGCTGTGGAGGAAATAAGAATCGTTTTAATAACAAAGCGACGTGCATGAAGACTTGCAGTTAAAAATGTTGCCTAACTTATAAGAAATATAAAAATTGAAGAAAAAAAAAACGATTCTATTTAGTTAACTAACAAAACACTACTACAAAACAAAGGAGAAATTTGTATTTGCCATCCTGTTAGATATGTCCCGATAAGAGCTTAGTTTTGATAAACCACAGTGGAGGTCTCTGCGCCTAAATTATAGAGAAATAATATTTATAGAGCTTAGTTAATTATGCATCTAGACAAAGGCTACAAAGGAACAGAATGGACCCCATTACCCCTTTAAAAAAAAGCAACAACTGATTGACGTGTTTACTGACTGATTAATAAGTTTATTGCTCTTTGTTGCTTTTGGGATACTTTATTTCATGAAACTACTACTCACAAATAATAGTCTAACAGGATGTTTGCTGTCCCTGGAACCCATACTTAAAACTCTATTAAGCATGGTCCAGCCACTGATATTTTATGGTCAATATTCCATGCCGATTAATTATTATAATGAATATGCAAACTAAACTTAAATAAATAAACCGATAATCAACTTATAAAGAAATGAAAAGAGACATAAAACTTGCCTATAACACTTACGAAAAGACTGCAGCACAATTTTTGTGTGGCAAAAAGTTTTCAAGAGCAAAAAGCAGTGAGTGCTTCTGAGCCGGTTCTAAAATCTAAAAATTTATAAAATAATTTTTACCATCGTGTAGACGTAAAAAGTAAAGTTCATTTTCACTCCAAGATCTTTGACTGTCTATATGTTTAATATTCACAAAGTACCATTTTTGGTTTTGTCAAAAGAGGGTCGGTTTAATTCTATCATTTCTTTTCCAAAAATGTGTATAAATCGTTTCAGATTTTGTTGAAAATAAATCCGTGACCTGCTGGATCATATCCTTAAAAGTTTATTTGTAGCAAAACTGCATTTAAATAATTAATTCATATTAGGTTTAAAGAAATTCTACAAAATGTATTGCATTTTGTGTTTGCTAGTCTGACCAAAGCTTTAAATCTTAACTATCAACATCACAACATTATCAAAAGATTATTTTATGATTATCAACATGCCCTTAAAACGGGTCTGTCTACCAAGTTTGCTGACTCTAGCTGTTTTAGTTCAAAAGTAATCGCAGTTCATACTGACAGACAGTCGGACCGACGAACCAACTGACAAACGGACGTGTCTACACCGATGCGTCTCATCATGCTGATCACATTTATAATTAAGTATAACATGGAGTCTGCCACGCCCGCCTTTGCATGTTGCATACATGCATTCAGACTTTATAGTATGGGGTATAAAAAACAAACCCTAATTGAATTTTATTCGAAATACCACAACAGAGTCGGGCAGCTGCACCCATTTATTTTTATAAATTTGTTGCGCTTGAACAAGAAATATTTCTAGTTTTCAAAACTTGTCAGCGCCACCCACTTTTTTTCTGTCCACTCTGCAACAGCTGCCAAGGTGTGTGTATGCTTGCGAGTGTGAGTGTGAATGTGTGTTGATGTAGGTGTGTATATTAGCTGAGAGGTCTCTGGCGGGGCGTGTGTCCGTTGACAGCGCGAGGCACAGAGTTGGCAACGTTTTGCTAAATCAAAATTGACACTTCTATGCAAAAAGGCCACAACCCACACACCAAACAGAAAACCCGCCATAACGACGATGGAGTTGGAAACTTAAGCGCCAATTGCAAAACAGTAGTCACATACCACTTACACTCACTGCTGCAAGTATGCTCACAAATCTGAACAAATTAGTCATGATTTTAGTTATATTTTACTAAAATAAATAAATACTTTAGAATTGAAAACATTAGAGATTGGGAGTTATGCCATAATTTACGCATTTAAAAAAAAAGAAGAAAAACGAGATTAAATTTATTCCACTGACTAAAAAGCTTAATTTTAGAAAATAATTAGAAAAAGTTGATGTGTTTTTTACATATAAATAGGGGGATGCTATTATTTATCTGTAGACTGATTCTGAGCGGCGATTGAAAACGAAAACTTGGTAAATGTTAGAACAGAATTTACGTGATAATCAAAAAATGGATTAATGAGATATTCCGAAAACAATTCAATTACTTGAAGCTTGAAAGCCACACCAAGAAAGTCCAAGTTTTCTATATAAAACGAACGTTAAATTCATGCCGTTAATATTTGAATAATAATATAATATTTATACATAGTGGAAGAAAAATATCAATATTGTGATTGGTGCAATCGATTATTGTCCAGCTCTACTAACTACACCTTACATTATCGACAATATTTAAGTTTAATGGCATTATATTTATTCAGTTTTTATAAGCAATTATTTTTCTATAATTGAAATGTTATAAAATATCTTTTAAAAAAAAACCAAACCATTAGCATATCCCTGTACAAAAAAAAAATGAATACATAAATAGCATTTATTGCTTTTGTGAAAAGTATTTTGTTTCCGTTTTTTTTTAGTTTTATTCAATTTTCTAACACTAAATCTTCTTTTTTAAACATCATCGCTAGTTAAAGAGCCATCGATAGAACCAGGATATACTTCAGTAATCCCATTTTTCGTTCTCCTAGTTCGTTCAGTGCAATGGGTACTGTCGTTTATTTTACTCACAATTACATAAGGTGTTCTTCCACTTTTCAACATATCAGTCATTGGAAAATGTTTGTTATAGTATTTCAGTTTTTATTTGAAAAAAACAAAACAAAACTTGGTCTGCAAATATAATTATTTGGCCAACCAAGTGTGGTTTTCTTCCTAAATGTTCTTCAAACTAAATCGAAAAGTTCAACAGCTATTTTTTTAGATAAAAGCATACTTTTAGTAGCAAGTGTTCACACACACACACACACAGATGCAGAGAGGAACACAGACGTAGAATGTGCTGAGGCCAGAAGCTCTCAGCGTGCCGTGGCATGGAGGCCAAAAGGTGGTCGGAGTTGCTGGCCAGGTTCCGACGCTGTGTGGCGCCAAACGTTTGCATTGGCGTTAGATTTCAGCCAAGTAGGGAGCAGAAATAACAACAAAAACATTTATTATCGCATGCCTGCTTGTACATACACACATACATACATAAGTATCTATGTATGTATGTACTCGTATGTATAGTATGTCTGTGCGGACACTCTTTGGCTACGCTTGTGGCATTTTTCTTGGCGCTCGACTCGGCTCTGGCCACTGTGGCGACATTTGCTCATTAAGCATATTAAATAATTAGTACTTGTTGTTGTCATATTTTATGTGCTTGTTCCTCGTTGTTGTTGTTGTTGCTGCTGCTGCTGTTGCTTTTGAGCTTGTTATGGCTTGGTGGCATGTGAATTTTTGAATGCAGACCAGTTTTCAGTTTTCCGTTGAGTGTTCATCGTTGCTGTTGTTGTTGCCGGTGACCTTTGGCTTTCGATCTACCAGCTGTCTGTCTGAATTGGTTAAATGTGTGTAAACATTCGCTTAAGATCGTCTGATTGAATACGTTATTATTGTGGGGTAATTAAAATGTTCAATCTGTAAACGAAAATTAGGCTCAAGCAAAAAGGCCACGAAATATGTAGAGCAGTATTTTTGAGTTAATAAATATTAACAAGGCCTTGTTTAATTAGCACATTATTAAATAATGATATCTTAAATTAGGTAATTACTATATGGGCATGGTGTAGGGGACAAGACGAAATCACTTACGAAGTTATATAGTTTGTAGAAACATTTTTAGATCCTGTTCCATTTCTTATAAATGCTGTTTTTGCCTGCCTGCCTTGTACTTCTGAACCAACATATGATTACCTTGATGATTCCTACTTCTCGCCATACTTGTATAAGCAAATAATTTTCATAGAGCGACCTATTTTGCTGTCATGTTAGAAGAACAGACAAAACAGGCGGACTTCTCTTCACTAATCAGGCAGAAATAAAGGACAAGTGGTAATAGTTTTTTTTTTTAGCATAATCTCAAACTTTTCAGACAATTGTAGCTCATGAGTGTTTTCTAGGGCGCTTCCAGCTCTTGCTTGAATATTAATGAACTGGCGTCATTGAAGAATTTGAAGAACGTGTCTTCTACGTGCTGAAAAGATTTGTTGATTTTTAAATACAACATTCTTTTGATATAAAACTCGCAAAGACACACAATCATCACCTACATAAAAAAAGCTAAAAGCAAATCTATATTTTCGCAATAATTGTTGGAAGAAGTTTTCAAAATGTTAAATGGATTGAAGAAAGTCGATTTAATGTCTGGAAGAAAACGTCATCTTTTTATGGTAATACCAACATCTTTTTTCTGCATTTTAATTTATTAATAACATAAATAATTATTTCCAATTCATGTCAATAATAGCAACCCCATTTGATGAAAATCTGTCCCCAAGCTTAGGAAATAAAAAGCAGTCACAAGGTTTCGGAAGGGAAGAGGGTACTGAAGCGGCTCAAGGTGTTATTTATGGATTTTTGATATGGGAACTGATGAGGTATGGGAAGCTGTTCTTGATCGAAACACGGCATCCAAAGTGTCGACACTTTCCACAGACCTGCCTTATCATTTAAAATCTAGATTGCTGATCCGTACGAGACACTGAGTTTTCTTCATTGACATTAATTCTACAACACTCTTAAACTCCTTAAACCAATAGCTTTCGGTTGACCTAAAGGGTTTGCATGTTTTTCCATAAAAAAAATATGAATGAACTAAGGATCGATCGGATTGCATTATTTTTTTCATATTGTCAATAAATTCTCTAATTAAGTATGTTATCGGTATCCGAATATGATCAACATCTGCCATTAATGCCGCCTGTCATCAAACACGGGTTATTATTGATCTAAGCTCATGCATTGTTTAATCTTAATTAAATATGATTCTGGCTACCAATTACTTTTAATGATTTCTGAAGTACAGATTTGTCTGTTAACTGACAATTTTATTTAGTATGTGGAACAATCTATTGTGCGATTTGTAAGACCACTTCAACTTCTCTTCAATGACCAGAGAAAACATTCGATAGCTGCTGCTGACGCATTCTAGAGAAAGACAGATTTCAAGACAAAAGAGCTGCTAAAATGAATTCGAATT